TACATCTTTATGGCAGTTGTCATCACATTCTTTCTTTAAGGTTTAGTTTCAAATAAATTAGATCATTAAATCTGGCTAAACTCTTATTCACAGTACCGTAATTCTCATCCTTCTTAAAACCACATTTTGAGGTCGCTATCCCAACTTAAGATGCCACATTAGAGCAGGAAGAGGACAACATCAGTGGGAAAACTGACCTGACCACTAACATTTGAAACAAGATGTCAGATAAAGGTACACACACTTCAGAACAGTTGCCGCTCTCGTGCCTGATGCGTCTAGCCTACAAACAACCTTGCACAGATAGGTCTTGACTGTTGTTTTGGTTAGACATTAATTCTGGACATGCTGAACAACACTCTGGAAAATGAATGCAGTGATGTAAGATGAGCTTCATACTGTTAAATACTTACAGAGGACTGTATCAGTATTACAATATCAATCATTTGGAGGCTTATGAATCTAAATGGCTTTTTTCCCCCCTGTAAATAGTGACTGCACCACAGACATGTACTGCAGATTGTGTATCACTAGGTAACAATGGATATACATATTTCTATCAAAATAGGAGCAAATAGAAAGTAAATGTTTGTTGTATTCTCATAAAACCTGAACTCAAGCTCCACTTACTGGTGTTTTTGTAACCTTTTAGTAGCAGCATGGCTTATGAAGGGTTTCTGTACGTGTTCTTTTTAAACTCAACCTTAAAAAAGTAAGAAGTTAAGGATAAGATTTCCTCAATGAGTTCCATCAATTTATGTCATGACAGCTGAGTGTACTGCAACTTCCTCTCAGGAAGACCTGACGAGTGTTTCAGAACCAAGTGGAACTTGAGTTATTTTATTATTTGAAACGTAGATGGTTAAACTAGTGATACCATTAGAGTGATACTGGGAGTTACTGTGTAGTGGTCAAGCTCAGCATTTGTCACAAACATTACAAAACTGAATAGAATTGTTTGCTTTTTCAGTGTTTTGTGAGAAATGACTGAATTGAACCTGCATAGGATGTTTGTGGATGTGGCACTCAGCTTTAAAATGTTTTATAATGTTCTCTCTGTTGTCTTTTGCTCTGCTTTTCTAAGATGATGTGACAGTAGAGTTTGGTAGGTTTCTTCTTATATTTCTTCCTCATCCCTGGGTTATGTTTACTTTCCTAATCTAATATTTTGTTTAGTATTACCTAATTTCCATTCCTTGCTTCTCTTGCACTCAAAGCTGAAGAGATTGAAGGTACTACTTTTCTGACATCCTCCACCGAGTAGGACTTTACTAACCAAACCATCTGTGATTGGTTCCCCTTCATGCTATTTGTGTGTAATGAGGTCCACCTCTTACCTCATCTCCCCAATTGACCCATTAAAGCTATTTACCATTTAAGAGTAACATCAGTTGTCACAGTCAATGGTTCCTCATAGATTTTATTGACTTTAACATTTTACAAAGCCTCATCTTTCCTCGACTCATTTTCACAAATGTGGACATCATTTTTGAGAATCATCCCGTCACAAGTAATATTTGTTGGACTCAGTCACAGCACAAACTGATTCACTGTCTCCAAGAATCGTCCAACACCACAGCCAAGAATGTAGTGGCCTGTAAGGCTAAA